ATATGCGGAAACTGACCTGGCAGTTGTTGCCAAAACAACACATGATGGAACACCTGCCTCCTGGCCAATGCACATGTGAGTGTTTGACTTTCAGTCTTCTCCCCCAAAAGGGCTGCGCACATTTCAAGGTGTTTGGATTGGATTCCGATGTTTGGCAATTGCCGTCATTATTCACTCTATTTGGATGAAGATTTGGTTGGCAGAATGAAGTGGCTAAGCTTCATCTTATATGAAAATGTGTTCTGGGAAAAATCTAGCTTCAGTCTACTGACGCGCGCCTTAAGGAGGGTCATTGCGCACACGCATGTCCGGACCATGAGCGTAAACGCTCTGAACCACTACGCGATGAGTGTGGCATTGCGGTGGGTTGGCAAAGACGCCCTGCTGACCACACGCCTCTGAGGAAAAAATGTTCCCCATCACTTTTGTCGAATTCACCTCAAAGACTGTTTGTACCGCGCGTGGTTTCGGAGTGGGTCCAAAAAATATACGTATATATATATATATGCTTTTAATAGTTTAGGATGTGCTTTTTACGTTTCTAGCTGGCTCAAGCGTGCACTCACCGAAGTGTGCAGGTCCGACAGGCTGGAGCTCTCTATGGTGCGCAGGTCTGTGCGTGCCCAGTAAGCTTTGTGAGTTGCGCGCGGCTCCTTCGCTCTAAGCTTTTGGTACCGAGCGCATCCCTGTGTATCCAAGAAAGCCTGAATTCACTGGGCAAAGCAGGCCGGTTAGCACTATAAGTCCACCGGCCTCAAGGTCTAACCATGAGTGCTCACAACCTCTGTTGGAAATGCAGGCGAGAGTGCGATTTGTCCCGCGCGCGCGTAACCCTCTGCGGAGATCGCGTGTCGAGTGCGCGGAATGCAGGCGAGAGCGCGATTTGTCCCATGTGCGCGCAACCCTCTGCGGAGATCGTGCGTGTCGAGTGCGCGAAATGCAGGCGAGAGTGCGATTTGTCCGCGGCGTGCGCAACCCTCTGCGGAGATCGCGCGGGTCGAGCGCGCGAACTGCAGGCGAGGGTGCGATTTGTTCCAACCAGTCCCACGCGCGCGCAACCCGATGAGCTGGCGACGGCGGAGCGCAACTTTAGTGGGCGGAGTCGCGGAGTATCTGGGGAGCTGGAAGATGAGACTAGTGACTTGGTAGTACAACTTGAGTATACGCGGAGTATCTGGGGAGCTGGAAGAGGAGAACTGGCGACTCTGTAGTACAACTATAGTACGCGGAGTATCTGGGGAGCTGGCAGATGAGAGCTGGCGACGTCGTAGTACAACTTTATAGCGGAGTCGCGGAGTATCTGGGGAGCTGGAAGATGAGGACTGGCGACGTTGTAGTACAACTTTAGTAGGCGGAGTCTCTGCAAAGGTGGAAGATGAGAACTGGCGACGTTGTAGTACAACTTTAGTAGGCGGAGTCTCTGGCGAGCTGGAAGATGAGAACTGGCGACTTGGTAGGACAACTGTAGTACGCGGAGTATCTGGGGAGCTGGAAGATGAGAACTGGCGATGTGTAGTGCAACTTTAGTAGGTGGAGTCTCTGGGGAGCTGGAAGATGAGAACCGGCGACTAGTGACTAGGTAGGACAACTGTAATACGCGGAGTATCTGGGGAGCTGGAAGATGAGAACTGGCGACTTGGTACCTGGTAGTACAACTTTAGTACGCGGAGTTTGGGGAGCTGGAAGATGAGAACTGGCGACTTGGTAGTACAACTCCAGTACGCGGAATAGCTGGGGAGCTGGAAGATGAGAACTGGCGACTTTGTAGTACAACTTTGCGCTACTTGGTTCACTATATCTACAGTGAAGAACTTCACCACTTGGCCTTACCAGCAGCTCAAATGCTCACGAAGTTGAGCTGAGCTGTCACCGCTTGGCCGCCGGTGGGGGGTTTGGGAGGCCTGCGCGCTACTTGGTTCACGTATATGTCAAGAGTGAAGACCTTCACCATTTCCCCTTACCAGCAGCTCGAATGCTGGCGCTTGCCCTCCGGTGAGGGAGTTACAGCTTTGTGTCCTAGGGGCCACAGAGACCCACAGATGGAGAAACATAGTTCACACGACGTACGTGGAAAGACATACACACACAGACATAGATACACACACACAGAGACCCACACACTGCCTCACACTCCACTTAACGCTTCACACTGAACACTTAACACATAACTCACACTCTGACTTCACACGTGATGAAAAATGCTTTCGGGCCACTCGTCGTCTAGTTATCGGTTTAATAATAGCAAAGGCCACCAGAAACAGCGCCAGGAAGGAACTCAACTTTTTGGCCACAGAATCCTAGGAAAAAGACGGTGCGATTGCTCGTGCTTTTTCTTGTGTTTTTTTTTGCCGTTTTGTCGCGCTTGGTTTCGTGTCCTCTGGCGTGCTTGCGTTACAGCTGTTTTGTTGTGATTGCGCCGCAAAAACCACAGAAACATTGTTTTAAATTAGAGTTGACTTGACTTCTGTTTCCTTTCTTTTTGCTTCACAAAAAGTACTGCTTTTGCCCGCAGGCTGGCCAATATCAGTGTAGATTTGTTCACTTTTCTTGCGCTCTGTAAAGTAATGTAATGTCGCATTATGTCATGTCATGTTGTAAGTTATGTCACGCAACGTAATGTACGGAATGTATGCAAACTATATGCAATGTATTAATGTGTGAATGCGTGTATGATGTGCGTGCGCGTGGATTATGTCTGTATGTACGTATGGTATGGTATGGTATATGGTATGTGGTATATGTGGTATGGTATGGTATGGTATATGGTATGGTATGGTGTGGTATGGTATGTGGTATATATGGTATATGGTATGGTATATGATATGGTTTGGTATGGTATGGTATGGTATGGTATATGATATGGTATGATATGATTAGGTTTGGTTTGGTTTGGTATGTATGTATGCATGTATGCATGCGTGCATGCGGGTATACCTTTTGAGGGGTCTTTTCAACCGCCTGTGTCGAGAGGGCCTTTGCGCTGGGTGGGCTTTGCCACTGAGCTAAAAGTAGTCGACCTGGCATGAGCGACTTTGCGTGGGGACGCAGGACCTTTGTCAAGATGATGCGTTGTTTTCCATTCTGCATGGCCTGACCCCTGCATAGGTGGCAGGAGATCTTGTTTCCAAGCTGCCGCAATTTGCGGGTGCTTCAAGCCGTCGCGCATCTGGATCTCCAGCTCCGGCTCAGGCTGGTGTGGACATGGTTCATGGACTTTGCAGCGCTTCTAAAGTCAGCCCCTGATGAATCCTTTCCCCGCGAGGCCGACACTGGGCTCCACCATGCTCCACCATTGATGTTGACCTTCAACAAGTTGAGACATGCCCTTTCGGACGAGGCGTTTCTTGGCCTACTTAGTGTGTTTGACAGGTGACTTTGTCTTCTCCTTGGTGTGCGCGAAGTGATCGTCTGAGGCTCTGATGGCTGCAATGCGGCTAGCGGCAATCCCGTTGATCGCCTCATGCATGGCCTTCGTCCAAGCCATTTGTTTGACTTTCCAGATCCGCATTGTAGATGACGCTGTCAACCCAGCATCACGTTGCCGCCAGCGAAGCTGTGGCACGGTCTGAACATCCTGGCGCCGCATACAACCCAATGTATTTTCAGACACTCGCCGTCGACGCCGCTCCTAGCAGCCATGACCTTCGGTTCCAGACATGTGTGTCTGCCACTGCTCATCATCAAATCCATCAAGGGCACTTGTGCCGCGTTGGGACCATTACCGGCGCGTCGCTTGGGAAAACAATTGCCCTGCGCACAGACAAGCGGTTGAACATCATTGTCCAAAATGTTGCTGCCTGGAAAGCTTGGACCAAAAAGGGCAAGCATTGTAGGGAAGTGCGCCGGTTGATTCAGCTCCATGGCCGAAGAGGGTCCCCATCAGGGTTGAAATCCGGTGGTTGGCAGAGATTCGGATTGATTCTGCTGGTGCCATTGCAGACCCAAATGAGATGCTTTGTGTCAGCAGGGACGTGACAAAGAGGACAGGTGCGAGACCTACCACCATCTTTCCCGTGAACTGGCCCAAGACTGCGTCTGCTGCTTGGCTTGGGGATTGAGCTTCTAGTCGGATTGTCGAGCTTGCGGTGTCTCATGCTTCCCAAGCGTTGCTGAGCAGCTTCAGCCTCCTCATCATTGCGTTTCAGGCCGGGTCCACTGCCAGGTGCAAGTATCTCCTTGCTCCCAGGCGTGGATGGGATGAGGGTCCTGCCTGGTACTTCTCCTGATGGATGTCATAGACGGTGTCCAAACAAACTCCCTGATGATATAGCCCAGATGCTTGGCAGTGGCGTTGTCATGGCTTGGCGGTAAACTTTGTCAGGGGTCTTCAGTCTTCAGCTGTCACGGTTTGATGCGCCGTTGCTTGGCCTTCTGGAAACGGCTGTGGAAGACTTTGATACGGCGGGTTTGCGCAGCTTGGTGATCAACCCTCATCTGGTCCCAACCTCTCCTTCAGAGCTTTGGTCACCTCAGTCACCTCCTTGTCTGTGGGGATGAAACCCGTTTTACCAACGTTGACTTTGAGGCCATGAAGATCCGGCCAGGCACCAACAGCTCTGCCTGCACTTCAAGAGGTGATGAATGGTGTCAAAGCCAATGTCATCCGCCCACTGTTCAACCGGACATGTGGATGAAAGGCAAGCTGGGGGGCCAGCCAAAGATGTAGCGCCGGGTATGAAAGATATCTGGCAGCACTTGCAAAGACATTGAGGTCAATGTGGTCGTTGAAGCAACTGAGATCAGCCAGCTCTGGCGGTCTCCATCCGTGCCATCGCTCTATGTGTGCAATGCAAAGCCTAAAGCAATATAATGTAGTGTGATATAATGTAATGTATTGCAATGGAGTGTACTATGTATGAATGAATGAGACTGCGAATAGCAGTTCATATTGACCTGGACCAAGCAGCCCCCAGAAAGACGTTGCAAACGACTGGTCGTTGGCGAGGAAAAATGACTTCAGTTACAAAAACACTCATGCGATCCGCCAGTTTGGCACTGAGGCACAGCAGACTGGTGGCATGTGAGTCTGACGCCAGCGCCTTTGTTCTGTCAATTTCGAGGCCGTGCTTCCAGCGAAAAATTGATAGGGTTTACTTTGTATTCAGGCCAACCACAAGTCCCTGCGTGAGCGTGTCGATTTCCTAGAAAAACTCCTGGGTGAGTCTGTGGACAAGCATTCTGAGGCGCCTCAAGCAAGAATTATCAGAAAAATCATGCAATTTTTTGATGTCCGTGCGGTGGTCTGAACGTATGCTCAGGGCCTGCAAGCTGCGCACTCAAACCTGCAAAAGCTCCATGGCAGCTTGCAGGAACAGATGTCAACCAGGCTGGCGCAAACCATACTGGTAGCAAGCCAATGTTATATGCTTAAACCAGATTCTGATATTGATTCCTGAAACTGGAAGAAAGTCAGATTTAGCAACTGGATGCAGCCCCCTCCCTCCACAAAGCACGCAGCAAAAAACAATGGGGTCAAAGCAGTCCTTCCAAAAACCATTGATTTCAACTCAACACCCAAACAGTTCAGGCCAAGAAGTATGCATAATCCCACCGGCAGAGGATAAGGCCCGACCCAACCCACGCAGCCAACGAACAAAACTGCGCAAGAAACGTAAGTGGAAACCAGCTTCAGGCATATCACATCTGTGGGGAGGAGCCCGATTAACATTGGAGATCTGAAGTTTAAACAGTACAGCTTAACAGCGCCCACCAGTCATCAAAGACAATGGCCTCCACTGACCTTATCTAGCTGCCACAAGTAAGATCAACCATTTCAAACTAGTTGCGGAAGCCTAGTTGCGGAATCTAGTCGAGTTGCGGAATCCGATTTAATCCCATGTTATAATTACAATTAAATAGTTACTCTATTTGAACATGTTTTTCAACTGACGTGTCGATCTGACATGTGTGGTGAGTTTCGTTTGCAGGATGGAGAAGCTTCATGGAAACGTCCAAGAAAGGCTCCAGGCCATTGAGAAACAGCTTGGAGCCACAGTTTAGTGTTGTATGTGCAATAGCGAATCCTGTTCCTGTTGCCGGCTGTACAACAAGGCTTGGACAAGTTGATGACCGCAGGGCCGGAAGCTCAATGGAACACTAGCTTGAGAGAGGTCGTGTGTGTGTTGAGCTTGTTGGACACAGGAAGCCCATGCTCGAGAGTTGCAGCAGGTCGGAAGCTGTTGTGTGAACACTGTCAGACATTGGGCCACGCACTCTTCAGACACAAGGTCAAAAGCCAGGTAGACCAAGCCCATCAAAAGCTGGGAAATCCAACCAAGCCCCAAAGTTTCATACTTAGCCTTTGCCGCTGGGGCACATTGTATTTTGATAATTGTGTTGCTGTGACAACACCCACGATGTTCCTGAGGTTCTTTGCACCATGCTACGATGGCAGAGAGAATGGAGTACTTGGAAAAGCTAATGGGCGATTCTGCTGACAAACATTCAAGCGAACTCGGGCAGGCCAGAGACGACACGCTGAGAATCTTTACTACATTGCCATACCACGCGCGACCGTGTCGTTTAGAAGCATTGCAGTCCTTTGCGCTTCGGAGAAGTTTTTGACAAGTGTCCATGCAAACGAACCATTTTCAATCCGCGCCCGCGATGAAACTTTATTGCTGATCGCTCATTTCAGGCACATACAAAGCTCGATCAGCTTCGAAGTCGCCTCACTGATTTGGAGGCTGAACTTGCGGGGAACGCACCATTCGCGCAGACACTCATGCACACTCGTCATGCTAAAGTCAATAGAATATACTGTACAGGGCAACTCGACCACACAATTGTTCTGTATTATCCTACACAAACTTACTTCCCATATCGTTTCATCTAATTTTCACTGGCGACCGCTACTTGTATATTTGTACTCGTTTGTAGACACCTCTATATTTCTATACTAGCCTGCAGACAGCTCTATGGCTCTACGAAACAAGCTTTCACTTTTTATGTTCGATCTCTCTTTAATAGCTTTTTTGTGCTTTTCGGTGGAGCAAAGGTCATGGGTTCTGTCAGCCCCCGCTGCAACATTGGCCAACATAGCCCCAAACTGTATACGCAGTGGCTCCCACGATGACAAGTGCGTACAATTGCAAGTTCTCTGGTCACGGAGACTTGCGTGGCAAAACGATGCGCAGCAGTGTTTCCAAACTGATTATGCGATTCAATTTCGACAGGACATGTGACATGTCAATGTCAATGTGACCGTACTGCAACATGTTGGCGCGCAATCAAGAACTCGACCCTTCGAAAGTGCAAATTTGTTGTGCGAACCACTTTGGAATCTTTGCGGATCTTTGAGCAGAACCAAAGACAGAACAAATCAGATCTTCATGTTTTCAAAGTATACACTGTATACACTTTTTCCACTCAGCTCATAGCGTAGATGTATCGCATCACTTGCACCATGAAGAGTGCATGGTACTATTGCAGCCCTTTTGGGACTCAAGAATTAGCCCGGCAAGAGACCCCAAACGGTGTGTGTGAGGTCTGTAAGAAAGATCTAGACGCATTGGGGTCCAGAGAGGTGATGGTGGTGATGAAGTGAAGGTGGGTGTGAGTGAGTGTGGGGGTGAGAGGGATCGTGGGTGTGAGTGAGAGTGAGAGAGTGAGTGTGAGTGCGAGTGTGAGTGAGAGTGATGTGGGTGAGAATGAGAGTGAGAGTGAGTGTAAGTGAGCGTGAGTGAGAGTGAAGGTCGGTGTTAGTGAGTGTGGGTGAGAGTGAGAGTGAGTGCGAGTGAGAGTGGGAGAGTGAGTGTGAGTGAGTGCGAGTGTGAGTGAGAGTGAGTGTGGGTGAGAGTAAGT